AAATTCATATTACAATAAAAGTTGAGTAAAAGTAACATTTTAAATATTTTTTTCTTAATACAGTTTTCAACTAGTAATTAAAATCTTTTTCCCACTTATTTTAAATGAATTTTTTTTTATAAATTTCTTTAAATATATATATTTTTAAATGGTTACAACTTTGAAAATAGAAATTTAAAATTTAACCCTTAAATTAAAGATACACCTATAACATGATTTACCATCGAGATAATAAAGCTAGTTAGGTGCTAACTTTCTTTATATCTAACCCACTTTTCTTACTAGCTTTTCATAAACCAATCTTTTACTAAATAAAGTAAAATTAATAACCTAATAAAACTTCATTACAAACCAACATGCAAGTATCCTATATAGCACATACGAAAATGGTTTTTTTTTTTTTTTAGCTTCCACTAATATTCTTCAATTTTCAATGGTACAAGCACTATAGGGAAATGGCTTTATTTAGCTTCCACTAATGGAAAAAAACTGCGTGCCTTGAAATTAGGAGTGGGTAAAAACCGATTTTGGTTAAAATTGAAACCAATTTTTAAAATAACCAAAATTTTTTTTTTTAATTTTGAGAATTTAAATGAACCAAAGTTTTTACAAATTGATCGGTTTGGTTACCAATAAAATTGGTTTAGTTTTGGTTTTTACTAAATAAATATTAATCAATTATTTTTTTAATAATAAATTATATTATATTTTATATTTTATTATATTTTGTCATATTTTATCATACTTATCCTAATTTTGGTTTTCAAGTGGCCTATTTTTTGTTTTTAATTTTCAAGTGCCCTCAACTACCATTTCTGCCTCCTTTGCAAAGAGTTGTTTATAGATATAGAGTTTCTCTGAGTCTAACTTCAAATATCGTCATTAATGTACTGGATTTCTTGAGAGGTTAATATTAGGGCAATGAAGATGAATACGGCTGAGCATAGTTCGTTTTTGGGCCATAGTAAGTAGCTCAAGAGTGCAGAAACAAATTAATCAAGGGAGAGAGCGCAGAGCCAACAACGAAGATAAGAAGTCAGCCTGACAAGATTGAGAGGGGGAAAAGCTTGCAAGCAACTTGTCTACAACCCTTCCTGACCCATCCTATTTATAGAAAGTGTGAGGGTTCCAAGTTATTATCAATTATGTATGCTGACGTAGTTTTTTTTTTTTCTTAATTAATACGACAGTCACCGTAACACATCAAACGAGCTGTAGCAACCTGGCAGCATTACTTTCGCTTAAAGGGGTCTCAGTCTCAGTGGTAAAAACTCAAATTTAAATTCAAAAGAGAATTATTTTTATTGTAATTAGATGATAATAATAATACTACTAATAATAATAATATTTATTGGTAGAAAACATTGACATCAATAAATTCTTCTCCGTTGTCAACCAGTTTAGACTTAAGAATATGAAATTTTCATTATTTTGGCTGATTAAGAGCCTTTCTCCAGTTTAGCCTTTCATTTTGTAATTATTAGAGATTACGTAGAAAAACTTCCTAGAGAATATATTTGGTTAATGAAAATGAAGAACAGTTTGAAACAAAAAAACAGAGCGTTAATCCTGTTTTTTTTTGGCCGTTGAACAATAAAAGGGTTTGATTCCTTAGTTTTCACTGAAAATGCAAGATCATCCTTGAGTTTCGATTCAAAACAATGAAGTACCTTAATCCTGGAAAAGACTGCACCGAAGGGATAAGGATTAATAAATACATAAAAATGTTTTTCAATACAGATTACCTTTTTCTTTTTCTTTTTTTGGTGTAGTCCTAATATTAAAATTACTATAATACTCTTAATGAAACTGCACTCTATGTTTATTCATTAATGGCATTTTGGTAAATTTAATACTAAGATTGCACAATCCATGCTAAAAAACAACTTTCTCTAATAAATAAACCAATTACAATATAAATCAATATTCAACTCTTATTAATTGTATGTAAACAAATATAATGAATATAATGCACCAAGGAAAATGAGTTCGAGTCCGTTTAAAGCCAAGCAGAAAGACATGGCAAGCTGCTATTCGACATATATCTGTATTACAGATAACAATGATTAAGAGTCAGGGGCTAATAATATCATCCTTAACCCATTCTATTTGCTTTTTAGAATATCATAAGTAAGTGATAGATAAAGGTAATAACTAAAAACAATATATCTCTGTATGAACAATTGCTCTACTTTAAAATTTCATTTCATTAGGCAATGTATATAAGCTATCTATAAATCAAAAGAAATTCAAAGGGAAAGAAATGATGGGATCAACGGGGTGTTGATAACCAACTACTTGTTTTGCTAAATGTTGATAACCAACTTACTAGAACAATGAGATGTCACAGTCTAGTGACAGCTAAAATCTTAAAGCCCAGTGAGTGTCCCGTTTGTATGGTTGAATATCCTTCGTCAGCATCAGCAATAAAACTTGGTTAGTATGGTTTGGCATTCATGCCATTCCTCAGATTAGTAGCAGGTGCTAGACCTTGTAGTCCATGCAGAGGAATTGCTCGTATTCTGTCCCATTGAGTGTCTTGAATACTTCATCCCAATTCTTAACATGTTCAGCCAATGGACCCTTGTGTATCTTAATCTGCCGGCTTGTCAATTCCAACTGTGGGACACTTAAAAACTCCAGGACATCCTTTAGTTTCTGCAACAAGCAAGGGGAACAATATCAAGTAAGCAGAGGCATACATTTTTTTTTTTTTTTTTGCCATCAGACAGAAGCATACTTTAAAGAAGAAGGCTCATACAAAAACAATAGTAGCATCAGTGTGGTCACAATCAGATAACTTGTAGTGGAATTCTCTACATTTTAGAGTTCTCTGGTCTAAAAAATAAAATAAAACACCATCTATACATCAACAAAACTGTGTCAGATAAAGTCTTGGATAGACTGGAGGATGTCAAACAAGAGGGAATAGTACTGAGCACAAAGTGTGTGTATGCTAAAGCATTGTCCTTATCTATGGCCAAAAAAAAAATGCATCCCCTATCAATTAGGACTATGGCAAATATTCTGTTATTATTCTTACCGTGGGGTCTGTAACAACATCCTCATAGTATACAATGATATGGCGGGTGCTATTGAAGTACTCCAAAGCCCTTGCAGCTTTCATCGCCACCTCCTTCAGATCACTCATCAACGATGTGGAATTGATTGTTGGTTTGAAACTTGAGAGTGCATCAGCCTACATCAGGTCACCAGCAATAAGTTTGAGATCATTAGAATATACAAGTGTGTGCATAGGCACACACACATACACACAAAGAGAGAGAGAGAGAGAGAGAGAGACTAGAGATAGACCTCTTCCTGTGAATGCACATGAGACTTGTGGGTTCCATTCAATAGCTTGGCATAGCGATCATGGGAATTTGCTAGCACTGAAACCATTCTTCGAAGCAGATTTCTTCTCAAGAGAAATATGGCAGAAACACCCCTTCGATTGAAGTAGTCTACTATTTCTCTATGGTGCTCCATCATTCCCTGCACAAATTGTGACAATGGATGTATAATTATCAACCTAGAAGCTTTATCCCAGGAATATCAAAAACATAGTCAGCAAACCTAATAGCATTCGTTAGGAACAAACTTTCATTTCATAAATTGAAAAGGTAAGAGAAAGTGAACCTTTAAGCTTTCCACTAGAAACAGAATCAGAACATAGAAATTAACCACAGAGTTTCAACTCTAGTAGTGACCTAGAAACAAAATCAGAATATAGAAAATGATTGTGTCTGAATCATTTTCCTAAAAAGAGAAATAAGAAAGAAAAACACCACCGAATTTTGGTGGTAGATGCACCTGATTTCAAGAAACAAATGTCCAAGAGAACAAGATTCAAGCAATTTATCTCCCTTTATTTGTCTGTCAAAATGGTTGCTCTTTTTTAGTTATAGCATGCTCTAATACCAAAATTAAAGAGCAAATAGACCATTAATTTTGGTGCTTTTCATAAAATGCTGAC